GTGTGTGTGTGTGTATTCTCTCTTACAGAAATATGCTCACCCATTCATGAACACACATTCTCAAATTTGTACACACACACCCACAAATATCTAATCCTCACATGGTTCTACACACACTCGTACATGCATGAACACTCGCTCACATACATATAATACACACGCACACACGTAGCGGGACCCAAGTTGTCGAAGAAGAACATTGACTGGTGTAAGATCTGTGCAGAGGGAGGTGAGCTCATCTGCTGTGACACATGTGCTGCATCTGTGCATGCCACTTGCATCAGCGGCACGTATCCATTGCCAGGCCTCAACGACGACATCCTCTGGAAGTGTCCGGTATGTTTAGCGTATAAATTATGGAGATATAGATAATTGTACGTATATCTATATGGGTGTGTCTGTGTCTAGCTCTGGTCTAACTTTCCCATGTGTAACGGGTCGTGTGGCATGTTACCACAGACCCGTCAGTGACATGACCACCTGTTAATATTCAAGTACAACTCCTTTTGTCATCACACCATCTTATATCTACAAGCATACGCCTCTCGCTCAAGTATCTCTCCTTTGCTCTGATTCAGATCAGATTGACATCTCACAGTCAGTCTAATGCCAACTCCTTCGCTTAAGCATTCTCCTCACCTTTTGGCCCACAACACATCCCAGGAGTGCGATGAGGGCAAGATTCCGTTGGTAGACGATGTGGTCTTTGCCAAATTAGGCAATTTCCGCTGGTGGCCTGCCAAAATCCTGGACCGGGACAATTTAGCGGACAATATGGAACGCAAAACCAGGACAAATGCGTGTGTCCCGGTTTACTTTTTTGGGTCTCATGACATGAGCTGGATGCCGTGCAACCACATGACATCGTACAGAAGTGACATCGGGTGCACGGCAAAGAAGAACGGAGCTTTCTCGCGAGCTCTGGTGGAGACTGAGGCGCATATAGTAGAGGTGGGTCTACCTGCTGCCGTTTTGTGCGTGTCTGTATGTGAGTTGTAAGTATTTGATGTGCAAATTTAGTACCTTCCTAGAGGCTTATTTGTAGTTCTAGCACGACATCACACTCTAAATGTACAGTATGTTTCACCACACTTGTGTATAACGTAACTAGTGTGTTCTACCACACGTGCGTGTAACCTGACATGGGCATACTATATATATATATATATATGTGTGTGTGTGTGTGTGTGTATGTGTATATATATTATAT